AAACAGCCTACAAACAATCGCCTTTGTGTATTTGTTGCGCTTCCTGTCTGAGAATTTTCGACAAGCAGCCTGACCGATTGAAAAGTCTATCGAGATATTTACTAGGCCATCATGTGAAATTTTTTCCCTTAAAGTGGTGCTTTTCCATGCTGGAAAGCCGAAAAACACTGTACAACTGTTTCATTCCCGTTATAAACCATTACCAGCGAGCGCTTCAAGAAATTCCGATTGGTGGTTATCCTCAACCAAAGTTATCTCGTGGTTACTCACGGCGCCATTTCTTGGTTCTAGTGATGGTAAACTTCGATAACGGTGCACCGGTGTGGACTAGCCAGAACACAGAACACAGCTGTCTAAAGCGAAATCGGAAATCCCGGATCCACGCTTATTCTGGTAGAGGGCCAATAGGTTGCCTCCTATTACGAACTATACCCAATCGCATCTGTATTAGGGAAGTTGATACGACAACGATATCAAGCATTCACTGCGCATGGGGAGCGGAAATAAAATGTAACGTTATACGCACAATATCTGTATACAATTGTTGCAGATAAAGAAACAAGTTCGAAAGGTACTGCGGCGGGGAAGCAGAAATTCGATGGGCACACACATAGCTGTTTTCGAGAATCGATCGGCAATATGTGAATCAAACCACATGCATATGTTGGTACGCATTGTGCAAACAGGCAGTAAAGCCCAACGATTATAAAGACGGCTCTTTCTGTTGTTTGAACCAAAATATCGGACTGTTGTTTACCGGATGCAGCATGCCGCTGAAAAGGCAACGGTTTTCAAAAATAACTTTTTGCATGGGCAAAACCAATTTGCCGCGAACCTTTGTCAAACACCGTGTATACTTTACTAAACAGCGGAGCACCAAAAATAAAATCCACCCTGAGGCTTTCTATGGTTCTGTGAAATCTGCTGTAACATTTGACTTTTCCGTGATGAGGTGACTGAAAACAAAGAAATTGCACAAAATAAGTGTCCATTGTTTTTGTAAGCAAATATAAATAATTTGACCAATTCATTAAAACTCCAAAACAATCTGAGTGAGTAAACTGATCCAGTAGAGGCGTTACGATCACCACCTTACGACGAGGTTATTTGGCCCATTTTGGAATCTCCTGCCTAACCCGGATCCTTTGCAAATTCCCTCTGGGAGTGTCTTCTTCCCAGAAGGGTCTTTGCCCGGAGGTATCGTCAGATTAAGCAACGAAACATTATGCATTCATGGGTATCTAGTTAGAAGTGCAATAACTACGGGCCAGTGGTCGCAATACAATCAATCTTAACACAGACAACGCAATAGGGTTTGTTAGCAGTGGCTAAAACCAACAACACCTTGGTCGAATCTGAAATCCTGGAGTAGCGAAAACTTATCGTCACCAACAACCTCTGAGCTGCTTGCCGTCTATCTTGTGCCGCATGTCCGTCATTGTGATGTCGACGACGTATCTAGTCAAGTGATGACCAATGTAACCGAAATTCTAGGAAGAATCGGGAAGCACCGTTCTGCTATATCAAACAGTGAACGCAAGTAGATTATGTTGCTGTCAGTTAATAGGCCTGTACTCGTTAGTGCTGAGAGTCAGTGCAACACCGTACTCGGTCTTCTCGCAATGCTGTAGACCAAAGAATGCCGAGAAATAAGACCTCCGGACGGCGAATCCATTGAATTAGACGGGTGAATATCCAGGAAGACAAGTAATAGGTGGAGGTATGGTAGTTGCAATATACCCAACCGAGGCAGCCATCACTCGAGAACTTTCGCCACCGAAGAACGGGTTGACAGGTGCCTGCAACTCTTTTTGTACGACCACTAATTCTTTCCAGCCTGACACAGCTACACTCACCATGAATACTTGGTTCACTTCATGTACAACTTGAGGAATCCGCTAGTTCGATTTCCTCCATCCAGAATTCCCTCCACCAACCGGATGCACAAACCGTCTTCAGGCAGTAATGTGAACTCTGTGATAAACTTAGAGGACTGGGTGCATTACGTCAGAACTCTGAATATGAACTCGGGCAAATATAGTGCAAACGAAAAACGGTATCCCAGTTCGCGAACTATCCCTCATAGCAATACCATTTCTCTAAAATATTTTACTTCTAGTCCGGCGTATAAGTTAACCGAATTTTGGGAGGTCAAGCGATGAGCACGGAAGAAGACGGTTAGTGTGGCAAATAGGCAGTTTCCAACGGTTTTTCGTCCTGACCAAACACTTGTATGTCAATTATGAGCAGCGAAATTTTGGACGCGGGATACCACAAACCCAGCGATGTGTTCCAGATATCCATACATCATGCAGAATTTCTTGTTTCCTTTATCTTCACCGTCTATTTACTTGAGCCACAAGCCCGAAAGTGAACTGTTTAACTAGCAAATATTTGGTAGGCCCTACCAGCGTACCAGTCCTACAAAATCGGACTGCTGTTTATCCGTTCGCTCCTCTGCTTGGGATTTTGGTCTTGTTTGAGGGGAGTTGAGATTTTCCGAGTAAAAGAGGGATTGTAAATTGTTGGCTTCGCAGTAATTATCAATGCTGAACGATTAATTTCCCACTGCTTCTATATTCCACTCACACTCAGCGGAGTAACAAATTGTTCGATTGATCTTACCGAGATCCTACCCACTTCGACGGCTTGCTACTCCCAAATCCGAAAACCAACTGTTTTCGCTATTTGTGTAGTTCATGAAGTTGCCTAGGAAAGCACATAACCATCCAGTGAACGACAACACTCTGCCAAACACGGGTATTGTTTTGTTGTCAATAAGCTTGAACAATGTAAATAGTTGTAGAAGCCTCAATCCGAAGAGAGTCTGGCCAGGAATTCCTAAAGCCTCAATCCTACATCCGGACATCGCCTACAACCATGGCGTTCGTCTTCTTGTGGAGAATTGCAATAGTTTCCTAATTTGGATCAGAAACCCTTGAAAACATGCAAAGCGTACTCCGTTTTGTGGACCGAATTTTGCTTGATAGGAGAATATTCGATGTTTCTCTCACACGTCTTATTATGTCCTTTTTGGGTACAAAACCGCAGTCTTTATCCACCTCGGTATCATCACCATCGTCAACGGGATAACGTCAGTGTTCAGCACTTATGCTTTGCTGCCTTTAGTCCACCTATCTCCAGTCAACTGTTCATGACTCGACGGCTTCCAGGCATTGGATTATCTTGACAAAACTGTTAAACTATGGTTGATGACCGAGAAAGGCAAGCTGAGCGACGCAACAGATTAACCGGATAGCCATTTCTGTTATTACACAGAACTTGGATTTTGTGTTGATCAGAGATCCAGAAATGATGATGATTTGAAAGTCAAACATTTTAAAACCGTTTGTAGTGGCCAAATTCTCATCCGAGCATTCACACATAGAAACATTTCATGAAGCCGGGTGTTTTTGACAGCCAACGTCATCTAGTAGGTGGTTCCAGCAGCTGGATTTCCGGCTGACGAGAGTGGAGTGCTAGTATTGAAGCCTTTTCTGCAAAACATCATGGTACTCTTGATCACTGTGCTACTGAACCTCGCCTAGACTGGTTTCTTTATTTGCGGCGGGTGGGACATTGAATGCAACTCATTACTTGGTATCATCTCCAAGGCATAGAAAAAGTGGACAGACAGACGTTCCATACAAGTGGCAGGAATGACCACTCCGGTTATTTCCTACTTACTTCTCCAATAACGAACTGATTTTCCAAAGCATACAAAATAAAGCTGTTATTGACATCTTGCACCTTTGCTCTCAAGTCTCAAACTGCGCTGGCCACTAGGGTCCAGTGTCATTTCCTGCTCGTTTGCGAGTAAGGTAGGGACGTTCGAGACCAATTTTATCAAATTTTAGTAGGTGGTTGATAAACAGTGGACAGGGAGACTACTTCACCAGAAGAGTACGTACATGGAAAGACGTGAGACAAATCGAGCTGGATATGGTAAACCTTCGTCGCTCGGATCATTTGAGAGCCGATTTGCAACAAAAGTTGTTATTTTTCTGTATATTTCCAACTAGTCAGGCGGTCGAATACCGCTTCCTATGCAGTTCTGAAAGTCTTGAAACACATCAAGCAGCTCAAAGACTATCTAAGAATCAGTGAGAAGTTAAAATATCTTGAATATATCGCGCCATATAACATGGTTACTTATAAATTAACAACTTCTCTGTCGAACTACGCGAAAAGTGTTCAGACTTGTGAATTTTCCAGAGTCATCTGACACGGTCTTTAATGTTTGGCTGATACAAAGTAGCTTCTAAATTTTTACCCAAGGCACAGTAAAACAGCTTTCTGCCTCAGACCAGCCAACTTATCTGATTCATCTGCCGCCTGTACACCGATTCCTCTTGGACGAGTTAACTAAATCTGTAAATTTATAGATAACTACCAATACAATTACGTCTGCTTAGATAAAAAAAATTCAACAGCACGTCTATCTTTGTAGTCTTGTTCTCCATTCCAGATATTTTCAAGCAGTTAAATCGCAAGCTCACTTTATCATTCATACTAATCCCGCCCACTATGATAGGCGAGCCCTGATATTCATAAACTTGAATCTCCTTTTATGAGGATTCAGCTAGTAAGTTCGGGAACATCCGCGTAACCTCCTTGAGCACAGACTCGGTTTGTTTTATTGTGTGTCGTAACTTCGCTCGCTGTTCATCTTTGAACTGTCAACTCTTCTTGAGCAAATCCAATTCCAACGATTTTCAGTTTATACCCCTTTTGTCTCCTACTCACGTGTAGATCCGGTGAGCTTACTGTTTTTATCCCAATGAAAGTCTGTCATCGAGGGTCTGCTTTTTAGCTTAGAAGTCCAGAAGCTGGTGGCGATTTGTCAGAATATTGGCAGCCATCATACGCTTGTCATTAGCTTATCAGGTGGCTGTTGACTTGTTCATCTGGGTGCTAACTGGTTTGCGAAGCCATCGTTAATGTCTCTTTAATGTGATCATAGATGGTGTCTGTTCGAGTGGTGAGGGGAAGTTTGTATGTCAGCTGCCCCAGCCCGAAAACAAAGTGATACTGGCCTTATCAACAATCAAAATATCACTTATGCAGTGAAACTCAAAGTAAACAATTACCCGTACGATGTAGTCTTCTGCATGAAGGGTGAACCTGTGTTTGGCGATCAGTAAATGAATCGGTGGGAATCGTCCGAATTTTGAACAGTCAACAAGGAACCTGTCACTTAGCATCCGACGGCCATCTAATATCCGTTTCAATTCATAAAATATGTAGGCAGGCAAGAATATTTTCGAACTTCCGGTGTCCAACAAGGCGATCGAACCGGCTTCCATGATGTCACCTCTTCCAATCTGTATGCTTTGTTGGACAATGAAGGGTAAACACGAAAACTGTAGATGATGTGGAATCAAATGACAAGAACCATCTAAATAGCAAATTAACTGGTTTACATTAAAAGAAGTTATTGGTCAAACACATTGGTTTAGCCTACCAAACGAAATTCGCGTACTGTATGCTTTCAAAGTACAATGAAAACTAATCCTTATCATGGTAAGCTGTTTAAATCATCCTGCAGGGTGCAGGAAACATATTCGAATCTTTCCAGAATGTTCTGGCCGAGTGATTTATTCTTAAATTCTTTGACCAATAGGCTGATTATCCTCAAATTACGTTTGTTGTGATACTCTCAATTGAGTTTTACGGGGAAACAAAATCAATAAGTGATGAGGTTATGGTCTTGATACTAATCGTTCCGTCTGAACATAATTTGCACTAGTTTGTTAGGCAATATAAATGAGGCAAATTTAATGAGGCCTAATTTAAAATCATTTAAGTCACTTAGTTATTTCAGGTACTTTCATATTAGACAATTTAGACACCCCGGAATCAGTTGTCCCATCTGATTTGAATAAGGGTACAGATCTTTAATGAGGAAGCAGTTCAGTCTTAAGGAGAAAACCTCTCTGGAGGCGAACATTTTAGAACCGAAGTAAAAGTGATTGAGGTACACCAAAAACGAGTGCAGCGCGACAGAAATACTAATTCACTGACTCGATATTGTGGTTGGCGCTGTGACCGCAGATTTTGAGTGACGCGCAATCAGCACAACCAATCACCTATTTACTCTGGCGCCAAATGCAGTATCCATGGGGCCCCCGGAAGAAACAATGTTTAAACTCCATATTAAATCAGATCCGATTTTTTAGGCTGTAACACCTTTTGGGTGCCTAGCTGTCACGCCACTCGAAGGAAGCACGACAGCTGCGATACTGCCACGTTGCCCACGACCGGTTTCGCCCTTGTTCGGGCTCATCAGGTAGGCGCAGTCCCCGGGTTTCCGTCCG